CAGAGAACACTATACCAACGAGAAGCGACAGAATCGGCGGTTCCTTTGATGTTTTGTGGTCACGCTAGAGTCGACCGATTTGACAGAAACACAATCGTTTACACTGAGAGAAGTTACACTTTTGAATAGATGTACACTGAACGAACTGCATCAGTATCAAACATTGTTCATATAATACAAGGATAACTGTGGTAAAATGTACACAAATTAGGTACAATATAAAAAAAATAACACAAGATGTTTAACAACTTATATTTTTGTTAAACAGATATAATATTTTTCTGCAATATTTGAAATAGTTTTTTTAAAAATAGGTATCTGACAATGCAATAACTTCTTTGGGACAATCTTCCACAATTTTTGCCTCTAGCTCTTCTTGCCCATTTCTAAGTTGAGGAAACTGTATAAGTATTCCGTTTGGCAATAAGGTTATTCTTACATTCCCTTTACTAATACATTTGGTTTCGAAATGATGTTCACAAAGCCTATAATTCTTATATACATCCACAATCCTAGGCAATAAATCGAGTCTATTGCAAGTTTCTATCCACACTCGAGCACTGCAAACAAGATATTTTCTATACTTATGCAATACCATATTACAAGAAAACATACCACATTATTTTAAAAATCTAAATACTTTTTTCTGATTTACAGTTTATATGTAGGCACTTAAAATAATAATAATAATTACCTTTCTAATCCTTAGGTAATCTCAATAGGGTTAGTCCTTCACCAGTTTTGGATGAACAATCGCGAAAAGCACAATAATAACCATGCCATTGATTTCAAGTTGATTCTAATTGTAGATGGAAACGAAATACAATACAAATAAATCCACTATCAATTAACATTATACAACACAACTGTACACCGCCAAAAAACTATTACTCGTTTCTTCTATTTATATTTGGCGGCTCTGACAGCTACTGACAACTGACAACAACACAACCCAATTCGCGCATGCGCATACGAAAACTGCTAACGCAGAAAGCCTTGCTGTCGCTTCTCGTTGATATAGTTTTCTCTGATTCTGCTGCCAAAGCTAATTATCTTACATATACAAAGATTTGTGGCTGAAGGCAGTATTGTTGTGTTAGGACTGTTTGGAGAATAAAGAAGCAGGCAGAAGAAGGCACATGGCAATATTAACTGTTCTAAAGGTCTAGTTTGGTCATATTTCCAACGTCACGCTGCAAATATGCCCAATTCGCAGAATAAGAAGGCATAATTACGTGTGACTTATGATATTATAGATTAGGAGTCTGGAAAAGAAATATATGAAAATCATAATCTTATCTACTCAAATGGGTTTCTTTTTCGCTGTGTGCTAAAGTTCTGTGGGGAAAAGTCAGAGAAAACGCGTAATATATTTTAATAATCAAGAAAATTTAATTTTATACCATAATATACAATTTATAATGAAATTGTATTTCATAACAAAATCCTAAATATTCACATATCAAAATAGCATAAAGATAAAAATAACACGAAACTCCTACCATATACTATAAAATAAAGATTTAGTGCATAAACAATACCTTATGTATAAACTTTAATAGAATAAACAAGATAGATAATAACAACGATTTCAACATTCACCTATAGTTAAGTTCTGTCAAGTATGAGCACATACAAAATGTTACAAACACATTGATACACATGCGTGTGTTTGGGTGTATGATCGCGCTGATATCTGAGAATCTCTAAGTATGTATCTTGCAAATAAATAACTGAAATGGCATGATAAATGGATAAGGCAGTGGAATTGCGTAAAACACCGAAAAAATAAATATGTCTAATCTAACGTTAACATCAGTCAAGAAAGAGAATAAAGAGAACAGAATATTTTTATCAACAAGCATATTCTCCTTTCGATTAGTCGTTAGTCATTGCTTAAGCTAACGTTTCTTGGTTGATGTTAAAATTACATCCCGATTACGATAAATAAAAAATAAGATAATAAAATATTCTATAACAATGTATATATAAAATGTAGAACTATGTACAATACATATTAGATTTTAAAATTAGGTACATGTACTTGTCTTTTGTCATGTCATTCTCAAGAGAAAAACCTATTTCAATAATATCATTATACTATCATTATAGCCTCCCTTTATATACATACAAAATATATTTTTCACTAACCTCATTAAAATAAGTACGAAACCTCAGTCATAGGTATATATTTATAAAATAAAAATTATATTTAATAGATATGTATGATAGTTAAATTGAATTTTATTTGCTGTTAGTTATTACATCTAAAGTTTAAACACACAGCAACCGCGAAAATGATTTACAAACCTAGATATTAAAAATTTAAAACTACAAAACGCTCCTAATTAAAATTACGGCATTTTTGGAATGTCAAGTGCTGCTATTTCGTAGTGCATCATTTCGGCTTACCCACACCAGGCGAATTCTCGATACAAAATCATTTTCGTAAGTTCTGTCATATTTTAGAGAGAATTTTCATCTCTGACCAATAAAATCGCTACCACTAATAAAAAATTCATAATTCTATAAGAATTATTTTTGTACTCTAAGAGATATAAATAACAACGCCCTAATAAAGACAACTAGGGTTGGTGACATTTCGCGATATGATTGTTACTTCACTTAAGCACAGTAGCATGACACTACCCTTTATCGACATTTTTCTTTTAACTTTACGTGACTAACATTAACTTTATTTAATACCCGAAACATTATTTACGTGAAAACTATTTTTGGTTTCTTCACTGAATAGTTAGACAGTTTGAATCGAAACACAAGTAAAACAAGTATGTTAGGTACTTGCACCAATAACAAAAGTTTGAGTCATTGTAATTAATAACATATTCAACTAAAGTGGTTTAATTTTAATTAAAAAATAGTTTGTTAATAAGAATTTGAAATAAAAATGCTATCTTGTGTCGGCTACTAAACGAGAATTACAAAAAATTACCACAAGATTCAAAATACCAATGGCGTGCATATTATTTTTACACGCATGCCCCTGGTGAGTTTATAATATTTTAGTTTACTCAAGAAGATGCCTTCAAACGGGCAGTTCAAACTTAGAGAAAAAAATGTTATTAAAATATAAAAAAAAAATTAAACTACGCTGTGTATTTTGGATAGGAGACATTTTTGGAAATATGTTAATACGGACCGTTTTTCTTAAAATAATTTGAAGTATCATCCTCAGAAATATTTAGATTACTTAGGAAAACACCCTGTATGCAAGGGTATAACAAAAATGAACCAACATAATTCAAAGGCATTAACTTAAAAAAAAATGTGGTTATAGCCACATATTTTTTTTCTAAAGTGCTTCCTTGAAAACACAGACATGAAGTGACAATTAACTCTTCACAGAAGAATTTCTACACCCTCGACGTTTAAAAAAAATTGATAAACGTTTTTATGTATCCATTCTATTTGGAACAAAAACATATTCTTTATATTTTCCCGAGATGTGTTCTTTTTTTAGTTATTCAAATTTTAAAGAGAACAGACGAATTTAACCGAACAGTATTTGATTTTGGGAAATAGAGGGTGTCCCACTAAGGTCGACGAGGTACGATATTAGAGAAGCCCTCGAGTCCTAGAGCTTCGGGAAAAGACTTTGGATTAATCGACCAAGAGAAATCGCTAGAAATTGTTTTCAATTCGTAGCTCGGCCGCTAGGGGGCGCAATCTACATACCAAAACATAGAGTTGAATTATTCTCAGAAATGTTTTCTATTCAAGTATATCAAATAGTATGGATAGCCGGATTAATTTAAAACTTTTGAGAAAAACGGCATTCTTTTGAAATAACGCCATCTATAGGTTTCCATATTGAGGTAAATGACATCACCACGAGATGCATGAAAAGACATTTCCAACGAGGTATAACACTATGGGCTTTTGATGAGCCAATCCTCAAAAAAATGCATTTTTCTGATCAGACATTTAGGGCTTCCCCCACCCTTTCTGTAGAGAGATAGAACAAAATGTACAATAACAAAAGTTATGCGTAATGAATCCGGTTATCTATATTTGTACTATTTAATGTACCTGAATAGGAAATATTTCTGAGAAAAATTCAACTCTATATTTTGGTATGTAGATTACGCCCCCTAGGGGTCAAGCTACGAACTTGAAAACTATTTCCAGCGATTTCTTTTGGTCGATTTATTCATCAAAATTTTTTTCCCAAAGTTCTAAGGCATACTTTTCCTAATATCGTACCTCGCGGAACTTAGTGGGACACCCTGTATATTCTTTTCTTATGGATTATGGATTTATTTGATTTGAAAATGATGCTGGAATTTCTACTAATAGAAGATTCGTTTCAAAATGTCGGAGCTAAGGTTTTGTTTGGTACAAGCACCTCACTTCAATATTTTGAAATTTGTGACGAAATAGTGGCGTAAACGAACATACACTATGTCTTTTTCAAAAGGTGTTTTAATTTTGTATCTTCATACCTCGTGATATGTAAAATATATTTTCTCGACTCAAATTAATTTCTTAACAACTAAAGAAAATATATAGTTATGTATTTATTTATATTCTATTCATTGTCAGGAAATAATTAATGAATATGCCGAATAATAATAATTTTAGAAAGATATTAAAAACAGTTTGTAACATCAGGCCTTATGTTCCCTGTCATACGTCATGTGTTGACCATCTTTGAATGAAGAGAACCAAAAATAGTTTCAATTGCGAATATACATTAAATTCAGCTTCAGCCACACCAAAATTTGAAAATAAAACCCGCAACAATATTTACAAGAGGATATTAAACACTGAAATAATTCACATGATATGTATAACAATATGTCAGTAAAATAGACTAAAACTAAGTCACTAGGTAGAGAAAAAGCTTGAAGACCCTGTCAATCACGGATTGATGTAAAGTTTCCATAGAGCTTCCGAAATTCGAATTATCCCACACGTATTCAGCCTTGGAGCACATTTTGAGCAAGTAGAGGCAAGTAACAGCAAGATTCATGGCAATCACAATTTTTAAATTATCTCCAACTGGACAGCCAACAAATCCGAAACGTTTATTACTTAAATTCCTGTATTTTCTCGTTCGAGGTCACTGTAGATCGTCTTCCGATTTGGGAATGTCGAAAATTTCCGCAAACAGAGGTGGTAATGTGAGTTTCGTCCAGTTCATTCGGAACCAGTCCAGGTGGGCGGTATGCCTGGCACCCAAATTCCTCAATTCCGGCAGTTTTATTAGCAAGTTGGAGAATATCTGTGGCTCACTGGCATGGTTCCGACTCACCTATTTAAAAAAATGCGCATAATAATAATTGATTTTTACACTGTACTGTTAAAATTTACAGCCTGACCAAATTGGCAACGTTACCAGACCGCACCGTAGCTCATCTGAGCTTTGGTATCCGAATCACTTGTGAAGCTTAAAGTGCACAGTCATGAAATTGTAAACCATGTATTTTAAATTTCTGGAGAAGGGAAAGCAAGGGAAAAATATCGCAAATGGTAAAACCCTTTCGTCATCAAATATTTTTAATTCAGGGAAAGTGAAGAAAACATTTAACTATTACTTTATTCTTACAAATTATATGTGCCTATATTAAAAACTTGTACAAATAAACATTAACACAAATTTCACTTTTTTAATTTTTTACAGGGATTACTACCTATTTTCAAAATTTTGTACCAATTTATAACCTTAGATTGCAGATATATTAATTTAGTCCAATTAAATAAGCCTTTAAATCGAAATTTTGGTCAGCTTGCCTGAATTTTTGATATGAGTTAGTTTGACGTATATTATAACAATAAGTGAGAGAAATTTTTTGTTCAACCCCCGGCCAAGGGTGAAAAAAGATAAATCAAAGGAGTTTTTCAAGATAACTCAAAAGGGGCAAGGGCTAAAACAAAAAGTTTCTTATAAAAATTGTAAAGCATATAATTCTACATAAAAATGTCGTCTAGACTTTTTCTTGTACTATTAAACTTAACAGAGTTAGGGAGGCTAGAAGTTAAGGGAATATTTCAGAAATTTAAAAAAGTCATCACAAGCAGAAAAACGAATTAATTTTGTATTTTTTTCAATCTACTCTAAGAAATGTAAAGAGACACGTATTTTTTTTATCGGCGGAAAAATATATTTACGGGGTGAAGTACACTCTCAAAGTTCGCCCCCCAAAACAGTTTTTTCAAAATTTCCGGGGTTCTAATCAATATTTTGAAATGAAGCAAAATGGAAATTACTTATGATAAAAAACAAATATTTCGCAAGTGATTCCGTGTTTGGGGGTTGCTACCCTTATTTTTTATTTCAGAAAAACTATATTTTTTATTTATAAAAAAATCATATTTACTCAAAAAGAATTAAAAATATGATTTATGTAAACAAATTGACAAATTTAAATTGGCCTGTTTCGAGGTTTCTCTTAACTTCTAGCCTCCCTAACACTGTTAATTTTAATAATACAAGAAAAGTCAAGAGGCCATTTTTATGTAGAAATGTATGGTTTACAACTTTTATACGAAACTTGTTTTTCTAGCCCTTACCCGTTTTGAGTTATCTTGAAAAACCCGTTTGTTTTATCTTTTTTCACCCTTAGCCGGGGGTTGAACAAAAAATTATTGTCACTTATTGTTATAACATACTTCAAACTTATATAAAAAATTCAGGCAAGTTGACCAAAATTTCGATTTAAAGGCATATTTAAATGGACTAAATTGTTAAAAATGCAGGCATATTTTTGTGTATTTCAAATTTGCCGCCTATTGTTATATTGATGACGGTGTTGGCAGGACAGAAATGTTAGTGACTAATTGAGGGAAGTTTAGAAGAAGAGGAAGAAGAAAAATGTTTAGACATGTTGGGTACTGTGCTTCGATTTTTGGTGAAGACAAAAAATAATAAACATTTTCAATCATTACACAGAAATGTATTTTAACTTTTAAAAGATTATTTAAATTTAATTCCTTGATAAAACCCAGGGACTATATTTTTCTAATCTAATTCTACCAATATAACGAGCGTTCAAATAAAAACGTGGTCGAAGCTGGCTTTGACACATTGGACGCAGGGAGTAGCTTATAGCGACCAACTTAACCTCATCTCTCAACGAGCTGTATAGCAGCTGTCAGTTTCAATAACGTTAACGACTATATAACTTTATTTTAAAGAATAATCGTGATAACAATAACAAACAATTAAAGGAGCTGCGGAAAGTGTCGCCCTCCTAGTTATAACAATAAATTAAAGCAGCTGCTGAAAGTGTCCCCCTCCTTGTTCCAAGCACTATTCACACCTGTTCCTCAAAGAATTAAAGACATTTTTTAAAATGCTCGGGGTATTGTTAATTTCACGAATCTTGCCTATAAGTCGAGCCTGCAGATGGTTTAAATCATGATTAGGCAGTTCAAAAATAGTGTTTTTAAGGTAAGGCCACAAAAAGAAATCACACGGCGTAATATCACATGACCTCGGTGGAAATTCATGTTCAGCATTTAGTCGATTTTGGAAAACTTCACTCAACATATTCATCGTCTCGCCTGCCGTATGTGCCCTTGCGCCATCTTGTTGAAAGTAAAAGTTTGTAATTTCGTTTTCTTCCAGCTGGTTAACAAAAGGAGCGATAATTTCTTCTCTTTACCTTTGCGCATTAAGAGTACCATTAAAAAAATAGGTCCATAAATCCTCCTTCTATTGAGAGCACACCAAACTCCAATTTTTTGAGCGTGTAGAGGGCCCTCGACAAAAAAGTTATCTGGTTTTTCAGAAGACCACATTCTCATATTCTGTGAGTTTACGTAACCACTTAAATGAAACCAGGCTTCATCAGAAAAAAAGGTGATATTATGAAGTTCACCGTAGTTGTTTAAAAACCATTCACAAAATACAGCCCGTCGCGGAAAATCAACTTCATGAAGTTCTTGCTGACAAGTTAAACGATAGGAGAACAAACGCAAATCTTTTTTAACACTGTATGCATGGCAGGTACTGACTGATACTCCCACCATTTGTGATAAAACACGTACAGAAGTTCTTGGCGCATTTTCCATTATTTGTTGGACATTTTCTTTTAATTCTTCAGTCCGCTTTTTAGGTCGGCCGCTTCCTTCTTTTCTTGTTACACTGCCCGTTTCACGAAAAACATTAACACAACGCTGAACTGCACTTTGAAAAATTTTGTACTCAACAACGTCGGGAAATTGATTTTGAAATTCTATGAAACATTCCTCAATAGAATACTTCCATATTCCATCAATCTTGCGTCCATTTCTAAAGTAGGACTCTATGATAAACACTTTTTGTTCTTGAGAAAACACCATTTTAAACGCTTTTTAAAACGAAAATATTCAAATTGATAGCGGCGATATAGCGCTTTGACAGATGACGTTTAAGTTCATTTGCTATACGCTACGCCCTACGTCCAAATTTTCAGAACCAACTTGACCACGTTTTTATTTGAACGCTCAATACATATTTGAGTAAATCAGAGTTTACAAAGACATTTTTTTAAATTAATCAAAAGCAACCCAGCTTACCTGGACCTTTAAAGCTTCTATGAGTCTGTCCTGATAATGTTCTATCGACTTGACGTCCGTGATTCCCGGGCGGTCAGCCGTTAACAATACAACGGCTGAAAATAATCCCACTTCTGTGTCGTTCAAGGATAACGCGTTGAACGTATTAGCGAAGTGTATTACGGACGACGTGAATTCGTTCTGAAAGAAAAAAGGGATACTATTTTAGTTGCAAATTAATTTATACGAAAAAAAAATAAAATGTATTTCAACTGCATAGTACGACTGCAATGTAACCTCTCTCATCAAAACTAACCTTGTCCTCGGTATACTTACATCGTACATAGTTTCAAGTTGCTGCCTGCTGACGGAGGTGCCGTCGTCGAACATCAGCGACGTGTTCGTCGTCAAGCGCGCCACGTGGCTCAGCCAGATCTCGAAGAAGCCTATCTTGATGAGTATGAGTTGATCGTCCTGGCCCAAATCGCAGAACCCTGGCACCCTCTTCGCGAACTCCACCACCCTCTGGACGCTGGGCGTGATGTTGCTAGCGAACTGCTGCCACAACCAGCACTTCTCCGTCTCCAAGGACTCAGCCGTCGACGAAGCCACCTCGTTGTCCACTTCGGGGCTGGCCGGCGGCAGGATTATGGGTTTCCTGACTAAGTTCCTGGTGTGTTCCTCGGTGTACCTGAATTGTAACGTAAATAGAACATGATGTTTTGCCATTATTTTATTATTAAATTAATTAAACGTCGCCACAATTAAAAGCAGGCTGGGATCTTCTTAAAAAATAATGTGACAATTTAATAAATGAACATAATGAACAAAGAGGATTCGGATTTGAGAACTGGAGAAGCTATCTTACTTTAGGAAATAATCGAGCGGTTCCATACATACCAGGACCGAGAATGTCCGGGAAAATATGGGAAATATAATTTTTTTTCGTACAGGAAATCGGTTTTTCTTGAATAACTTTTAAAGTCCTTAATATAATTTAATACAAATTTTATGTGATGAACACTAGTAAAGACCTCTTAAAATAGTGTCCTTGAAACATATTTAGCTCTTTTAGTTTACCAGGGGCGGGCTAAGCTTTACAACTTAATGCCTAAATTTTTAACACCCTGTATGATAAAGACTTTAAAATAATAAATCTGGGTAGCTTCAACCTTAAACTAACAAAAGGGTACTCTTGTTTATTGTCGATAAAATGAACCGTTTACGAGAAAAATAATAATAAACGAATTCTTGTTTTATTTTTAATAAAAAGGGCCATGATTTCTATTTTTTTTTTCTCGACAACAAAGGGACATCGCTGACACATTGATCCTTTACTTCGTTATTAATTTACCGATTTTTGGATTTCGTGGTGAATTTAATTGTGAATTAATTCGAAATATGGAATACACGTTTATTGAATATGCATATATGTATGCATCTCATGTATGGTCTTGCGTCTTGCAATGCTTTACAAGCCAGAAAGTTAGATATATCACGACAGATTTCTACCAAACCAGAAGACATTTCAACGAGTTGACCAACGTCTAAGGGAGAATGATAGGCGATTCCAGTTAATAAGGTAATACATATTAGGTCTGTTCCAACAAGAGTCAGGGATTGGTTCCCAACCGTTCGAAATGTTTGGCCAGCTAAGTTCTAAATGTGTCTTCACTGAATATATCGTAAGAATTAGTTGGATGCACATTTCAAACAGTTCGGAACCAATTCCTGACTCATGTTGGAACAGACCTATTATTGACTTTCTTCATATTCGTAGGAAAATTTGGAAAAAATAGTACTGATGCTGGTCTGAGAAGAATCGTACGTACGCCGCAATTAGAGGAAAATATTTTAATTGCTGTAAAAGACACTCCATCAACGAGCACTCGAAAATTATCAGCACAGTTTAATACATCGAAAACAATAGTACATGAAGTTCTTCAGGGAGAGCATAAAAATACATAAACTGATTTCTGAAGGTTTTCCTCGTAGAAAACAGTTTGCAAACTGGCTATTGGATCTGCAACGAAATAATGTAAACTTCATTAGCACTATTCTTTTCACGGATGAAGTAAGGTTTACCGAAAATTGGTATCACCAATGTACACAACACACATGTATGGGCTGATGAAAATCCTCATGCCACTATTGTTTCGCATCATCAACATCAGTTCCAATCAATTAGCATCTGGGCAGGAATCATTGGCAATTTTTTTTATTGGACCATTCGTATTGTTGGAACGATTGAATAGACAACTTTATTTGGAGTTCCTTCAGAACGTTTTTCAAGATTTATTAGAACATTTACCAATTGAAACCCACCGAAACATGTACTTCATGCGTTGGTGTGTAGAGGAGGACCTATTGTCTGGCTTCCTCGATCTCCCGACCTAACGCCTCTGGATTTTTACCTGTGGGGACACCTCAAACAATTGATGTATTCCACTTCCAATTGATGTATTATTGTGGCGGGTACAGCAGTCCCCAATTCGTCGTACCCGCGAGTGTATCAGACTTCACGGAGCACATGTTGAACCCTCTTATGAAGTTTTTCAATAATTTCGTTAAGGTGCCTCCTGGGACACCACTGCGTTTTTTAATTTTGTATTTTTTCGGGTTAAACATCTTAAAATGAAACTTTCCTGTTGTTTGAATGACTTTCGTGTCGCACTTTGTTGCAGAGAAAAAAAAATTAGGGCCCTTTTTATTAAAAATAAAACATGAATTCGTTTATTATTCTTTTCCTCGTAAACGGTTCATTTTATAGACAATAAACAAGAGTACCTTTTTTAGTCTAAGGTTGAAGCTACCCAGATTTATTATTTTAAAGTGTTTATCATACAGGATGTTAAAAATTTAGACATTAAGTTGTAAAGCTTAGCCCGCCCCTGGTAAACTAAAAAAGCTAAATATGTTTCAAGGACATTATTTTAAGAGGTCCTTACTAATGTCCATCACATCAAATTTTTATTAAAAGTTATTCAAGAAAAACCGATGGGCTTGCACAAAAAAATGTTATGGGAACTTGTCACCTTATCTTGTCACCCGAGAGATTCCCTACATTTTCTCGGACACCCTGTCTATTTAAATGCTTGGATATAATTATAACTTAGTAATTTCTACACCAACTTTTAATTGCTTACCCGCAATTGGCATGGTGGGCCTGCGACACAGTAAGGATCACATCGTACACGGCCAATTGCTTTGTCTCAGCGTCTGATTGATCAGCGTCCGAAGTCGTAACACGGGTCTGCTCATCAGTACTCCTTTCTCGCGATCGTTTAGGTACTCTTCCGTATCGTACAGCTGAAAATAAATTTCTTTCAGACACATTCTTAATAATAAAATATTGTCATGAATTATTATTTTTAAATCAGTATATGAACCAAATTTTCTTCAAAATAAATTAGTAATAATAACTCAGACATTGAAGCCACCAAAAGTTATTTTCATCTCAGAATTAGACGAGAAAATAAACCGAAATAATGCTTCTTTTATTCTGAGTAATGGTGGCGGTAGAACGAAAGGAAGATATACGTGAAGCAAATTGATTTTTCTTTGTGAAAGACATGAGTAACGGAAAGCTGTCAACAATTCCTCGATATTTCACCAGAAAAAATTCGCTTCGGAATATAATCTCAAACAACGTCGTCGTTGAGAGAAACTTAGGCACAAAGAAGAGGACACTAACAAGATGGAATTACCCCGAGCTAAATTACGGAACTCCGGCAAATGTAAACTGGGAATGTGTACTGTTGCATGTTTCAGCAAGCTTTCGAGAGATTTTGATTATATATAGAGCTGATTTGCATTTATGAATTTTGGATTAAATTAGGGACTTTGTACAAACCGCCTGATTTGCTGAATTTTTCAAGGATACTTCACTTTCTTGAGTACTTCTAAAAGTGTAAATGCAAAGAAGTTATTTAAATCTGTATAAGATTTTCAGTAATTTCAACATAAGTAAATATTTAAATTTTTGTAAATTTTTAACATCTATACTACTACTCTATATAAAATAAGTGTTACTGACATTAGATATCTTTGATTTGTAAAATATTTTCATATTCAAATGCTATTAACTTAAGAGTTGTTTAGTTTCAATTTGTCCATTATTTGTATTTAACACGAATACAAAAGCCAAAATGTTTTACACAGAAATGTTTTACTCAACTTTACTTGACAAACGTAATTGGTAAGTTAAATACAATTAAACATGGATGTAAAATTGCGTAGTCAATTTATTTAGTAAGAAAAAACACTTTAGGATTTTGTTTTGCAAATCAAATAACCAATTAAAAATATAATTCAATTTTAGGAGGTATTTAATTGGAATTTGTACTCATTATAATTGTTAATTGAAATATTGAAAGAAGTAACGCTAAACTTTCGTGAATATTTAAAAGAATAACAATTCTACTTTCGTCATTTATTTAGAATGTTTTTGAGTGTTGATACAACATTACGAGAATCATCATTAAAATATATTAGGTACAAATCAATAAGACAATATTTCTTTGTGTTGGAAATACAGGGTGTGGCATGTATAATCTATAAAAATTAAACTACAGCTTCCTGATGATATTTGTAATAGAAAAGTCTTATACGAAAAAGTTCTATCTTCGCGTTTTTTTTTTTTGTAAATTAAATAATCCTAGAATTATAAGAGAAAGAGTTTCTCTTCATAATTTTTTATATTAACGTGTGGTGTGGTATGCTAGGTTCAAAAATATAGGGTATAACAATTTTTTGAGAGATCACCTACACATTTTCTACGTTATGAATATCTTTGTTCCAAGTATACTCATTCTCTCAGTAAGAAATTTTTTAAATCGAACTTTACCCCCTTAAAAAATATAATTAACTACAAAATAATAGCCATTTAAATGTTAAAATATAATTCTAAACGTTTGTAATTCACAGAAATAAAAATTTTGTTGCATTACTGGCGCATTCGCCATTTTATCGAAATAATTTAGGTTCATGGAAATGGTTATAAAATATTTTTTATTCAACATTCTAAGTTAAGAATAACTAAAATTAAATCTTTGACGTCACTAACAAAATGTTGAATTTTTTGTCCAATTTCCATTGGCCCCTATAATTGGCTGTTATAATAAAAAATATCAAAAAAGTCTTTATACGATTCTTGTAGAGGTTTTTCCATAAATCATAGTGCAATGCCCATTTTATTCATGGATTTTATATTTTCAGGGAAAACTGACATTTATTTTTGCAACATTAATTTTCTTATTAATTTAAAAAAAATAAAATATATAATTCAATCTATACAGGTATAAAAATTACTTTCAAAGATATTCAGGGCGTTTTTTTATTGGAACCCCTTTTATACAGGGTGTGGCGTGTATAATCTATAAAAATTAAACTACAGCTTCCTAATGATATTTGTAATAGAAAAGTCTTATACGAAAAAGTTTTATCTTCGCATTTTTTTTTTTTTTTGTAAATTAAAGTTCATCTATTCAACGAAAATGAAGCAACCTTATTATTTAAGTCGATATAATCTAATACGAGTAATACTAAAAGAAGATTAGGTTACTTTGTCAAAAAATGTGTGCAGTCAACTGATTTTGTATTTGTATTGAATTCATTATTCACTTAATTATTAAATATTAAGCATTGTCCATCGACTCGCCAGTGTTAAGAAGTGAAAGATTCCAGACAAAAGTTTTTATTTTGATTGTGATCTCTTGCAGTAACAACAATGCATTTAAAATATAATTATTATTAATTCTTATAATAAGAAAATATAAGTTTTTTTGTAAATATCTATCTTCTTAGTTTGTACTTTTGTAATGAAAAATTCCCCAAAAATTGAGAAATACTTTTCTATCTTTCAACGACGATTGGTTTACGCGGTTGGTCTACAGCACGCGGACAGGACCGTTCCAGAGAAAATATTTTGATCCATAATTGAACTTTAATTTATGAAAAAAAAAAAAAACGCAAAAATAGAACAATTTCGTATAGGACTTTTCTATTACAAATATCGTTAGGAAGCTGTAGTTTAATTTTTATAGATTATACACGCCACACTCTGTATATACACAGTTTGCGAAGAAATATTATACTGAAATAATATACAGGGTACGCGAATTCTATCTCTTTTGATCTTAATTGTCATGTGGTTTAAATCTCTTCATTCACTCATACTGCACATACTACATACAACATACGACTTCACTCACGAAAAAAAACTATTGCAGAGTCGCTTTGTGTAAGTAGAGTTTCCGAATTTAATACTTGGCTTCCTATTGATTTTCTAGGAACGTTCACAGCCGAAAATCTCATTTGAGATACGGATACAAGGAGAAATATCAGAGTACTTACAATCTCGAGACATCCCTACAGCTAGGCATTTTTTAAATCGGCAATACTGACATCGATTCCTGTTCAGCCGTATCACGAGGCACTTGCCGTCTCGCAGGCATCGGTATTCTATCTGCTTCTGTATACTCCTCCTGAAAAAGCCCTGAAAAAGACGAAACGCGTTAGCGCTGATGGACTGCCCGGGAAACTGATGAGGCGCCGTCGGGATGGACTATTAATCAAGCTGTAACACCAGTCACATAACTTTAATAACTTCGCGTTTTTAATGGGTTAGCTGATTGAAAAGCTGCGCGAAATTTAAAGGGGCTCTCATAATTCACACAGAACAGGAGGGGAATCGAGTTACGTTTAAAATACAACGCATTATACGGCACAATTTTTGTTCAAACAATTTTTTACACCTTTCTCCATTATTGAAATATAGAATATTTGTCAAATTTTGTAAGTCACATTTATGCACGCCATTTTTTATTTAAATGTTACTTTTTATATGTGTCAAATTCAAAATTTAAGAAATATTTTTATTAATAGCGTGCGTATAATGTGCAGACTGGATCGGCAGGTGGATTCGAAACTTTGGTGAATTTTGATACAACTTTTCATTAACAGTTTGAATAATATTCTTCAAAAGTCACAATCATGGCCAAATCTGTTGATTGTTAACCTTAAGTAAAACTGTAAATGAATAAAACTTTATTAAGTACCTGTTTCAAACTTACGGACTATTCACTTATGATGAGAAACATATGTATCGTTTTGTGGATGGAATATTGCAACACAATTGCAGGGAATCAATGGCATATACAGGGGACGATATTTAAAACTGTCCCTTATTCTGTGTACTGTTTTGTTGGAAACGAATTAATTCGATAGTATATTCTATTGTAATAGAAAAGTTTGCCTAAAATCTCCTTCAAAATAAATCAAATTAATAGTCCAGGAAATTTAGAGTAGGACGACGCGACTTTTTGTTTCGGCAAGCTGAATTTATCACTATAGATGCTAAATATTATGTATACAATAACATATTAGTTTCCGGTTAATTGTATAATTTTTACGTAAATTCTCTGGTAATAATAACGCAGTTTATAAATGTTTAATTCAAAAGTCATAAATAAACTTCTTCTGTTTATAACTTTGATCTAATCAATATTTTTTTACGCTCGAGGGCTAGTTTTGTAGGTCTTTGAAGATGAAAAAAAAGTACTTCACTGTTTTCTCGTGGAAATGAACGGAAAAAAGTTATAAGCGAAAAACCTGAATTTACGTAAAATTATACAATTAACCACCCTGTAAACAATCTTCCCCCATTTTTATGACTGTGGAAATTAATATGTTATTGTACATAATATTTAGCATCTATAGTGATAAATTCAGCTTGCCGAAACAAAAAATCGCGAAATGGTCATTTTCCGGCTTATTTTCCTGAACTATAAGCCGTGATTATCCTAATAAAGTCTCAAACTTTAAATCTAGGCATGTTACTGTTTAACATACATGATTTTTGCAATTATTAACTTTTTAGGAAAACTAAATTATCCTCATTTGCTTTCTATTTTCATCAAGTTAGAGCATTCAAAGATAAGAGTCGCAAAAAAGAAATCTGAAGTAACGTTCATCGCTATAAACGTGGCTTGAAAGATTGAACGAGAAGGAACAAATCGTTAGAGAAAATTCATTCCAGGACAATCGAATTAACTGACGGCGGCTTTTTAAAGAGCAACATCTCCAGATTTAAAACTTTCCACGAACCTTCTAAATTGACTGGTAAACGAGACTGACTTCAGATTCTACTGAAAATAGCTAGAATTGAATTATAACAGCAACATCTAGAAATAGCTAGTGTATTATTAAATCATATACATTAATAGTGTATGTAGTTATTTATAAACAGAATATAAAATATTTTCATCTCTTCCGGGGAAAATATCTTAAAATAAAATCAATAAACTGGAATCCCTCACGGTGTAAATGAAACGTTTTACGTGCTCGCAAAGTCACGAAATTCTAAATTATAAACTCTGGGTTGTCGCTGGCAAGAAGAAACCGACCTAGGAAACAAGAAAACAAGTCTAGTACATTGTAAGAACGTTATGGCTAAATTAAACTGCAGTTTGTGTCGAGATGCCACTTTGCCAACCGTTACTTCGTAGAAGCGACTATAATGCAATTTTTTTCAAACTCGTTTGGAATCGCCCCAAGCCTAGGGCGCGATTGTAAACGTTCAGTATTTAAATCTTGTTTCGTTGCTGTAGCAGCATAAATTCGAAGGGCAAATAGTATCCATAAATAAACTTAAATATATAAAATTAAAAGAATGTTGAAAAGGAAACTTTATGAAATCTTTACAAACAGCTGTCGTGGCAAACAAAAAGGTTCAGTTTTTTATTTTAAAAATATCTCGCAAACCTGAACATATGTATATAATATAAATATATACAGAGTGATTCACAAATGGTGACCACAAATGAAACCTCGTACTTTTTGGTGAATTTTAAGGGTGGAGTATTTTTCTAAATAAAATAGTACACCACTGCTTTACAGTAACAACCAATATATTTTCGGATTCGTCTTTCAATTTTCTACAACTTACTACTCTCTTATGTTTTTCGAAAAAAGCCTGATTTGGGAGTAAAACTTAAAAAACGAACTGGGAACACACTTCAATATTCGAATATAATAATGCTTTTTAAAATTACATAGTAGGCTGCGATAACAACTTTGACATGCTGAGCAGTTAGAAGAAAGAATAAATAATGCTTTTCATCAGATTCAAGCAACAATAAATTTCGAACAAATTACGTTTCCGTTACTAAAAAAATGTCGGGCCTGTGTTCGTGGAAATGGAGGTATTTTTGAGCATTTACTCAATTAAATCATTAACATGATGACTAAAGTTATTAATTTCTTTATTCGAATAAATAACCGAATGATTAGTGTTTGTTCATGTCATTTAAGTAAAAGTGTTTCCAGTTATTTTTTTAAGTTTTACTCGAAAATACTTATTTAATTGTTAATTATTTAAAAAAATAAAAGTATTTTTTGAAGTTTAACACCCCGTATATTTTTAACGAAGATAAAAACTTTATAGGAAAGCCTCCCCTTAAAATTCACCAAAGAGTACGAGATATCATTTTTGGTCACCATTTGTGAATCACCCTGTATAATAAAAATATAACTGTGCATGTAAGGATAAGACGTGTTCTGGTTTAAAATGCAACGTTTGATGTAGTATGATAATGAAGGTTTTGAACGGGAATTATGTATTCGAATTTAATTAACGACATACAGAGACTGTCCTAGTCAATTAACGCGATAAGATCTCTGAGATTGTTCTACAAAATTTAACAACATCTATTATATCAATGTCATTGTATTTACATGCATATTATACATTCGAAATGTCGAGTAGTAGTTGCCTCTTTCATAATAGTTGTTATTAGAGAGTGCCTTAGACACGCTTGTATTAAATTTTTACAAGAAACTTAAATTAAAAATTTTAAATGCCCCAAAATTACCGGCTAATATTCTACCAGTCTTTTGATAAAAAATAAGAGAATAGGTATTTGTTTAACTAGGCAATGAAGTACAAGATTTAATGCAGCGGCTGGTAATTAATAGACGAGGCGCAGCCGAGTCTCTTAAAGCAGACGAGGCATTAAATCTACTTTACTGCCAAGTTAAACACATAATTCTATCGCTGATCAATTTTAATTTTATCATAATAGCAAACAAAGCTATTTAGTTTATATTATTAAGTTTGTATGATAGTTCTTTCATGAATAATATCAGGTCGTTTGTGGTTGCTATCAGACGAGCGTTATTAAGTAAATAACTTAGGTGCACAGTAATCGCCATATTGTTCCTATTTAAATCCATAAAAATAACTATTTATTGTTTGAGATAGAAGAATTCACATTAATTCCGCCAGAACTGATTGAAGTTGAAGCAAATAGAGTGTAATTTATTACCAGAAAAATCGAAGAAGGTATGTCAGCAACCATATAAAAAAATTATTGATTACCGGGCTGATAATAAAATTGTCTTTTTCAGAAAATGTACTATTGGTATATTTTTCTGAATTAAGCAAATCTTCTTCATTATGGTCAATATATGCGATGCTTAGAGTTACTTTGAATGTCTTCAACATCGATATTGGAAAGTATCTAAAATTAAAAGCATTCTTGAAACGGCAATCGGATGGATATCGTGCTAAAATATCACGCGTTTTAGAAAATAAACAAATTAAAAAATTTCTAATGGAGGACCCTGATTATACGTATTTATAGGTACAAAGGTAATTATAAAAAAAATTTTTTGTAAACGAAGAATACTGACTTATTATTTTAGGTGGCAATAGCATTTGCCATATCTGGGGCATGTCGATGTGACGAATTACTTCAAATAAAAATTGAAGATATTGAAGATATGCGAAATAAATTGCTGATATGCGAATATTTAGATATAGATAGATAGAGGAATAGATAGTAACAGATTTTATTTAAATATTCAAATTGTAAAGCATATAACCAATTAATAGCAATTCATACATTTGGGTAATAGCCGTAACAAATTGCTGCATCTCTTAAATTGAAGGAAGCTCACGAATATACCAGACATTGTTTCCGTATAACTTCAGGCTACACTATTAATAAATTCAGATGATATCACAACTTTAAAAATGCATGGGGGATGAAAATCTTCAACGGTAGCTGAAGGCTACATTGAGGAGTCAACTCGTAAGTCAGTTGTTAGCAAACACATTTTCCCTACTGCAAAGTGCTGGAAGCGATTGTCTAATAATTTAACCACTTTGGAGGATTCAGTAGTTCATAAATCATCTCCTACTAGTGAAAACATTTCAAGTTACATAGACGAAGTAAATGTTTCAAAACAAACAGTACAAGGCATATCCTTTACAGGCTTTTCTTATTTCACTATAAATGTTTACAATAAATAAAATTACTTTCGTTAAAGAACAAATTTCAATTTTTAATTTAGCGGCAGTAAAAATGATTCTAATGCTTAGGCAGTAAATGTGACACATTAGTGCCTGACAGCTGTCACTAAAACTACACCTTTAAATGTCGATCGGCGAAAAACATTTTTGTTGAACATTGACACACAAATCGATAAATATATTTAAAGTTTTAACCAGACGGTTCCAAATTCAATAAATAAAAACAACTATATAATCTTTTTCGTCTGTCTTTAGTGTACGTATAATCCATTGCCTTTTCAACCTTACCTTGCATCCCTCACACGACGTTACCCCGTAATGGTACCCTGAGGCCTTATCCCCGCAAACTTTACAGGGCACGAAGGATTTGGTTGTTGAGGAACTGTTGGAGTCGGCGGCCACGTAGTGTTCTGAAACAGAAGAATGCCGTGTGAATTGAAGGGGTTTTATCAGTTTTCGTTGTTTGTCTTTGCAGTGTTTTGGAGAGCAGGCGCGGTCTTGAAAGAAACCCTTCCGTTTTTCCAATTAATTCGTGCCTTCGAGGGCGAAAGACAAAGTGAAATGATTGGATTGGATTCGCTTTTCAGATATTAGCAATCTTTTACTCTCTGTCTAATCTGCTTAATGCTTTCGTTACGTGCCTTAGCCCGCCCATAATCGATATTAAGAAAATCGAAAGAAGATTGGTTTGAATACATGTGATTTAGTGTGAAAAAGTTAATTGTAGTACGTTAACATTTTCTTGTAATTGCTTTTCACAATATTAGAGACAAGTACACAGGGTAATTAATTTTTTATTGATCACACATTAAAGAAAAGAGGCTAACATAATCCGCGCGAATTAGACCAAACACATGCCTGTTTCAAAAATCGGGCCTACCTCGAATTTTATGGGCTTAAAATTAAGTAAATAATACACAGAATAAAAGCCTAAATTTGTGTATTTGTAGAGATCGAGCGTCATATTGTTTATAACGAAAGAAAAAAAAAGTAATTGCTCTTTTTTCAGTTTTTGTGCCCCGCATATTGCATATTCAAGATTGCCATGATTTTATTGATATTTTTTTGTTTCCAATAATTATATTGACGTTTATGATAATTAAAATAACAATAAACAGTAGTTGTGAATTCATTTTCGGTAAATTAAAGTGGGAATATGCATTATACCAAAGAACGTAGTAATATTGTCGAAGTACGGGAATATTTCAATAACAACAATAACGCTAGCGAGTTAAGTATCCTTTGTATAATTTCTAAAAAATCCTAGGTTCTCTATAAGAGACGCCGCTAGAGATTTAGGTATTGCTAAATCATGCATCCAAAGAATTCTTAAAAAGGATAATTTAAAACCCTTTAAAGTAATGCCCGTCCAAAAATTAACATTAAAAGGTGGAAGTGTAGGTTTTTATATAGACTAGAATTAAAAAAAAATGTATAGTGAACTTATTGTTACGTTCCACTACATCTTTTAAAGACGAGCACCTCTATCAGATATGTCATGTTTACCTTTAAAATATATTAAGGCCCGGTATTTTGAGTCTCGGTTAAGGATTGATTAACAAATCATATGATTAGACTGTGATTATACTATATAAAATAAATCACACACACACACAGAGACTCAAAGTACCGGGCCTAAATAAGATATTTTCTCTTATAATTAGTAAATTATTTATAAAAGGTGATTGAAAGTGTCATTAATTTTAACCACGTATTCAGAAAACAGATAAGACACACAATACTACAATAACTAATACGTACTACAAACTAAATAGTTAATTGAACATAATATGATGAATATGTACTAAAAACTCATACTCCATTATAAAACATAGTGTTTTAATTGACAAATAAATAATACTTGTTAGTATTTAAAATGTAAAAAAAATATCTTATTCATTCATGTGTCGAGGTAAAAAAAAATTGTTTTTGTCGTTCACTATTAAAAACACAATAAACGCTAGGTTAGTGACCGAATACGGTAGGCCAAGATTTACTCAGCGTTCAGGAGCGGCGCGAAAATACTGACTTGAAAATATTTTTCCCAGCGTATCTTCTCTTAAAATGAATGAAATTTTGACTGTATCACCCTGTATATTAACGGCTATGGGCTAGCACACCTCGAACACTCTAACCTCAAGGAAATCCTCACACCCCGAATCTTATTTGACCGGCTCATATGTGCATTTATCAACGCCAGCGGAGTGTGTCGATTTTTTTGCCATCCTCTAAGCTAAGGCATACTTTACATTCCTGAGAATGACGACGGTACGGTTAGTTTTCCGTACGATCGGCGGCGAGGAATCGGGATCGCCAATAAGAAAGGTATGAACGTGTAACGGGTTCATAACTAATTGTGACAGAGCGACTGCTACCACACCCCGGCTCGCGGTAGCAGGATTAAAAACCGCTGTAGGATGAAGTATTGAGCAGGAAAGGTGATGGCTCGGCAAATCCGATAAACTACCGGATAAACGGGTTTGGGAGCGTAGTGATTTTCCAGTATCACTGCGGGTAATAGTTAACGGGAAGAAATAAATTTCAGTGGATTATACACTGGGAAAAATTTTAAAGTGATGAGCGGAGGATGTTTCATCGGGAAATAACTGTGCAAGGAACATTCGACTTGACACCGCATTCGTTTATTCAAATCACTCTCATCTATCTTTTTTGTAGACATTGTCCAGTGGTATACAGTGTGGACCATTTTGGTGATGCATGTATTGGTATCTCGGAAACTATAAGAGATAGGAAAATGGTTAACTGAGAAAAGTTTTAAACAGTTCTGTTGTAACTTAATGGCGCTTGCAGCCGCTCCTAGCTTTTCAGGTTTTTGAGTTATTTTGAAAAAAAGGAAATGTGACGTTTTCGAAAATCGTTTGTAACTTTTTTATTTAGAGGAATTTTTTACATCTGAAAACATTTTTTCACAGCGAGTTTTTTCGAAGAATTTCACTGTATATTTAGATCTTCATTGCGACGTTTTACGGTTACGAGAAACCATCATCAATTTATTTTTTTCTTATGGACGTTATACTGAGTTTTAATCAGAGCAAATAGAGCATTTTTTGACTTTTCAATGATATAATTAGTAACAACTAATTTCAAAAACAACCTCAAAAATCATTGTTTTGATATTTTTAATAAATCTGGCAACACCGCATACTTTTTCGAAACTATTATAGTCTCAAATTTTTACTTGTATAATTTAATGAAATTTTAATATTTTATGTAGGCCATAAAGGCTCATAAAGCCATACTACGGTAGATGTTTTACACTGTCAAGGAAGTCAGGAACGGACTTGCCTCCACACTCGTTGGGCCAAAATTTTGACAGGTGTCATTTTATAGAACTGAACACTGAATTTTTAAATACTTTGGTCATTCCTCTTTAAAAAAAGTACTCACATTTGTTTCGATAAAATTAGCCGTTTTCGAAAAAATTGAGTTTTTGTAGAACACATCATTGAAATAATAAATCAGAATTCTGCAATAAAACACTAGTCGTTTTTGTTGATTGATTGACTATTCAAGACTAAATAATAGAGATTGTTCCTATAGCGAATATGCTGATATGCATCTAATTTATGGACAAGCACTCGGCAATTGTGATGAGGCAAGAAGAATTTATTCAGATACATTTCCAAATCGACGTTTATCGCACCGAAGAACTTTTGAAAGCATTGATCGTTGTTTACGAGAAAGAGGTAAAAAGTCAAATCAATCCCTCTAATTCTGAGAAAGCTGTCGATCCAAGATCATGCGACAAACTGGGTCGTTCATGAGACCTCCCCCCTCCCCCCAGAAGGTACATGCCATGTCTATTATGTATAGTCTTTCCAATTTCAGTTGAAGAATCAAAAAGTTGCCGGTATGTACCAGGTTCTGTCGCTGACGCAGCAACTCGGCATTGAAATATTTGAAAAATTTGTTCCTATATTTATTTAGCCATGCCCATATACATATCTGGTCGAACTAAGCGTGAAGGTGGTAGAAATGTATACGCCCAGTTGAAGAATGCGAGCGGGGGCAAACGAAATCCTAACACAGCTGCATTGGGCGACTGGGCAATAAATCTCAGCTGTCGACAAGTGGCTGATAAATTGCCTAGCAGTGCAGTGCAGTAATGCAGAATTTGGTGTGATTCAGGTAATTTTAATTTATTGTAGGCTAAAGCACCTTCTATTAATCATTCATATTACAATAATTGCGAAAGGGAGAAATAAGAGGGATATTTTGTTTACTTACATTATTACAGCATGTCATTTTGGAGACCTTTTTATATAAAATGTAGTCATAATCATCCAGCTATTCATATTTTAAGGAAAAATAACTAACTCTTCTCTAATATTATAAGTAATAATAATTATTGTTACGGCTGAGTTGATATTATTATCCACAACCGTAATTTTCACAGTATGGCGGTCATTTAGAACTGAGCTATGTGTATTTATCTCTAAATAGTATTATTAATAGTATACATATAGTGTTTTCTCTACGTAAAAGTTAACAACAGAATTATATACATACTAAGTAGTGGCTTGATGATAAAAAAAGGAAGAAACAGAATCTATTTGAACAAAATTCTTCATACGTACAGGAAAAACACTAGCTTTAGCTTATTAGTTATTTTATGTCCGCCTATTTCTGCTAATGCGGCCAAATACCGACGCCATGACACGAAGCAACAACACCCCTCATCTGGAAATTTTACGAACCCCCATTTTGGTCATGGGGTAAGGGTCTTTTACTTGGGATGGTATGTATATAAATTTGTACAGCTTCTGTGAATACACCGACATTCAAGCCATTAGAATGTGGACGAGCATCTCGAGCCTTCCCTGGATTGTCACCATCCAAGTACTAACTGCGATCAGCTTTGCTTGACTTTTTATATCAGTGACATGGATGCCAAGACGCTAGGCCGCCAGCTCGTCAGTCACATGTCAGACAAAAATGTGAATTTAAAAAAAAAATTATGGTATCTCTTGACGGTGGTTAAAATTTTGGCACTTATTTCTGGGACACGCTGTATATGACAAACGCCAACTTGTTACTATCCGCCACGTCCATCTCTGCACATATATGTTCAAAATTTCGTATTAAAAAACGCTACACGACTTCTATCGACTGATCGGTGTACCGCTACGTTTATATAATTAAATTAAAAAAAATTGCAAGCTACGCCTGGGAATATTTTGGCTCGCCGCAACAAAACAAATAAGAAAATTATTATGCCGGGCGTACGGCCGGCACTCTTTTTAGCACATCGAACGGTACTTAATTTATGACCGTCAAGGTGTTTGTCAATGGGTGGGTACTTGTATGGAAAATTATAGGTAGGTACATAAGAAAGTGGTTTCGTACTTTCAGTACGGACCGCCAACAACCGAATTGGTGCTGACTGGTA